AACTCCTTTCTCCCACCTTCTCTCTGTAGGTTCTTGATTAGTAAGGGGATCAAAACTGTCTTAAAGGCATTCAATGACTTGTTCCACAGACTACTGCAGCAACTAGTTTCACAGGTTAAATACTCTCTGGCTGAAGAAATTCCCCCTCATCTCAGTTCTAAAGGGCTCTCCCTTCAGAGGCTCTTCCCTCAGGTCCTAGTCTCTTCTACTAGTGAAATCCAGAACTAGGATCCCTGAATTCCTTCGTGCTTCAGATTTCTGAAGCCTTTCCCATTTAGAAAGTAGCCTATACCTCTATGCTTCCTACCAAAGCACATAACCTTACATTTTCCCACACTGTACACCATCTGTCACTTCTTTGCCCACTCTCCTAGATTCAATACTACCTGTCATAGATCGTAGACTGGAATCATAGATTATCCACAGGGTTTAAACAAGCCATTTAGCTCAACAAGTCCACACCGACCTTCCGAGGAGCATCCCAGCCAGAACCATCCCCCTACTCTATCCCTGTAACCCTGCATTTCCTGTGGCTGATGCACCTAATCTATGCATTCCTCAACACTATGGGCAATTTAGCATGGCCAATCCATCTAACTAGCACACATTTGGACTGTGGGAGGATACCAGAGTACCCAGTGAAAATCCACAGACACGGGGAGAACACGTAATGTGCACACAGACAGTCACCAGAGGCTGTCCCTCCACCTATCTTTATGTCATCTGCAAACTTAACAACAATGCCCTCAGTTTCTTTGTCCAGAATGTTAAAGTATAACACGAAAATGGTGGTCCCAACACAGCCCCCTACCGTGAAACTCCACTAGTCAGCTGCTGCCATTCTGAAAATGATCACTTCAGCCCTACTCACTGCCTTCTGTCAGTCAGCCAGCCAATCCTGTCAGAATGACTTTCTGCTTTTCCTCCAAATTACCCCCAGAAACTCTTGCCATTGCTGCTCCACCATCCTCCCTGCTAGGCTTCCCTCCAACCTCCTCCAATCAACTCTGGCCAGCTCCTCCCTCATGTCTTTGTAGTTACCTTTACTCAACTGTAATGCCATTACATCTGATTCTGGCATCTCCTTCTCAAAATGCAGAGTGAATTCTATAATATTATGGCCAGTGTCCAAGGGATATTGTTAAACTTGAGTGCAGAAAAGATTTGCAAGGATGGTGCTAGGACTGCAGGGCTTGAGCTATAGAGTCAGAGATATACAGCATGGAATCAGACCTTTCGGTCCAACTTGTTCATGCCAACCAGATACCCAATTTAATTTAGTCCCATTTGCCAGCATTTGACCCATATCCCTCTAAACGCTTCCTATCATGTAGCCATCCAGACACCTTTTAAATGTTGTAATTGTACAAGCCTCCACCACTTCCTCTGGCAGCTCATTCCAGACATGCACCACCCTCTGCATGAGAAAAAGTTGCCCATCGGGTCTCTTAAATATCTCCCCTCTTACCTTAAACCTGTGCCTTCTAGTTTTGGACTCCCCCTTTATGGGGGAAAAGACCTTGCCTATTTACCCTATCTGTGCCCCTCATGATTTTATGAACTTCCAGAAAGTCACACATCATCCTCTGACGCTCCAAGGAGAAAGAAGGAAAAAAAAACATTGCCCCAGCCTATTCAGCCTCTCCCTATAGCTCGAACCCTTCCATCCTGGCAAAATGCTTGTAAATCTTTTCTGAACCGTTTCAAGTTTCATAACATTCTTTCTATAGCTGGGAGACCAGAATTGGATGCAGTATTCCAAAAGTGGCCAAAGCAATGTCCTGTACAGCTGCAACATACTCTCCCAACTCCTATATTCAATGCACTTACCAATAAAAGACAAACATACCAAAAACCTTCTTCACTATCCTGACTACCTGCTACTCCACTTTCAAGGAACTACAAACCTGCACTCCAAGGCGTCTTTGTTCAGCAATTCGCTAGGACCTTACCAAAGTGTATAAATCCTGCCCTGATTTGCCTTTCCAAGAGGCTGCACCTCTCATGTTCTAAATTAAACTCCATCTGCCACTCCTCAGCCCACTGCCCATCTGATCAAGGATCCGTTGTATTCAGAGGTAACCTTCGCTGTCCACTACACTTCCAATTATGGTGTCATCTGCAAACTTACTAACCATACCTCCTATGTTCACATCTAAATCTTTGATATTAATGACAAAAAGCAATAGACCCAGCACCAATCCTTGTGGGCACACCGCTGGTCACAGGCCTCCAGTCTGAAAAGCAACCCTACACCACCTCCCTTTGTCTACTTTCAAGTCAGTTCTGTATCCAAATGGCTGGTTCTCCCTGTATTCTACGCAATCTAACTTTGCTAACCAGTCTACCATGAGGAACCTTGTCAAATGCCTTACTGAAGTCCACATTGATCATGTCCACTGCTCTGCCGTCACCAATTGTCTTTGTTACTTCTTCAAAGAAAAACTCAATCAAGTTCAAGAGACATGATTTCCCATGCATGTAGCCATGTTGACCATCTCTAGAGGCTAAACAGGCTGAGCTACTTCCTCTGGAAAATTGGAGGCTGAAGAGTGACCTTACAGAGGTTTATAAAATCATGAGGGGTGTGAATAGCCAAGGTCTTTTTCTTAGAGCTGGGGAGTCCCAAAACTAGAGAGGGCATAGGTTTAAAGTGAGAGGAGAAAGATATACAAAATGACCTGAGGGGTAACTTTTTCATGCAAAGGATGGTGCATTTATGGAATGAGTTGTCAGTAGTAGTGGTGGAGGCAAGTACAATTACAACATTTGGAAGACATTTGGATAAGTACGTGAATAGGAAGGGTTTAAGAGGGATTTGGGCTAAATGCTGGCAAATGGGACCAGACATGAGATGGGGATGTCTGGTTGGCGTGGACGAATTGGGCCGAAGGATCTGTTTCCATTCTGTATCAAATCCAGAACTGCCTGTTCTCTAGTGGGCTCTACCACATGCTATTCCAAAATGTCAAATCTGTTAGATATTCCACCAAAAAATGGACCTACATACTGAAGTCCCCAGTGATTTTGTAATTGCATCTTTCTTATGAATTTTTTCTATCTCCTGATTTATTTTCTACTCCACATCCTGTCTACTGCTGGGAGGGTCTACTACAAAGATTATACACCTTCCAACCCTATATTGCTTTTTGTTATTGTTTTAATTTTGTTTTAAACAAGGCAACCTTTCCCCCTCTGCCTATTTGCCTGCCTTTTCAATATAATGCATATCCTTGGATATTTAGTTCCCAGTCCTAATCCCCTTGCAACCACATCTGAAATTTGGCAGATATGATGTCATAGGCAACACAATTGATGATAATTCCTGAAATTGCCCATACAGGATGTCTTGCCCACGTTGTTGGTATCAACATGGATCACAATAATTGGATCTTCCTCCTCTCTCTCCTGTATTCTTTCAAGCCAACTTGAAATATCTTTCACCTTGACACTGGGCAGGCAACACACCATTGGGGTGTCTCAATCCTGTTCACAAAATACGATATCTGATTTCTAATTATAGGATCCCCTACCACTTTTCCTTGTGCATAACATCCCCCCACACCTCCGTTTGAATGGCTTCCTGGACTACAATGCAGTGGTCAGTTTGACCACACAGACCCTTTCCTCATCCATACATGGAGCAAATACCTCATACTAGCCAAATACGAACTAGCAATAATCATGCATACTGGATACCTTAATATTTTAGTGGTGATTTATTACAGAACTTCCCGATTCAGTGCAAGTACTGCAGATTTAAAAAAAACTGCTGCTCAGGAATAACCAAATTTCATGGCAAGCTTTGAATAGAGGGGCACAAAAGAGCAGGGGTGTTCAATGGAAAACACAAGGTTATCCATTTGTTATAACCTCCTTCCAAAAGCAAAAGGTCACATATTTGAATCACTACAATTTTACAAATCAACAATGCCACTTCAAAGGCTGCTGCAAATAGTTCTTAAAGAAGGGGGGAATTCATTTTTGTTTAATTAGCAGCTAGCAAATGCAGATGAGGTGTTAGTTCCAAAGTGGTGTAACTAAGGTAGTACAAATTGTGGAAACATAACCTATTACAGAAAATGGGATGATCACCATTGAGACAAAAGAAAATCTAAATCTACTTAATACATGTCTGATTCCAACTGTATCAGAAAATCAACTTTACAAGATACAAGAAAATCACAACACGTATATTTAAGTCTAGCTAATTTTATTGCCAATGTCAAAATGTTAGGGTAAAAAGAATGACATCACAATTTTTCCCCCTATTGTAATAATTAACTTAGCGAATCATAATCTAACAAGCTAACACAGACATTCCTTGTCTCTTCAGTTTTTATCCCAATACAAGCACTAAAGATTACATCACTTCAGTAACCTGGTTAAATGCAACAGGACTTCAAAAGTTTTATAACTACACTGAACTGTAGGCTACTTGTGCCAGTAGATGAAAGTTTTGCTTTTTCTGCATTCATTTTTGTTATAATCTTTTATCTCTAAATAGCCAATAGATAGATTACATTTTCCTTTAAACTTCAAATTTTATTCTCAAAAGAGTTTTAAGCTTCCTTCATCATTGGGGAATCAGAGACCCAGTTTCTCCACATAATGGTAAATGCACAATGTATCTCATTTCTGTGAAGAGCTTTGGGGCATATGGGAAATGGAAGGAAAAAGATACTGCAAGTTCTTCCACCTCAGCTCTCAGGAAGCATTGCAGTTAGCATCTGTTCGTCAAACTGACGTGAAGGTCTGTTCATGAGCACTGTCCAGAATATGTTGAATGGACTGCAACTGCAACCTGTCACTACAGGTCTTTTCAACCATCATGCAGATAGGATATTTACTTTTGCAATGATTCAAGTCCAAATTATTTCAAGATTTCTAATAAAGATTTTCTTCGAACGTTGCCATAATATCACTCTGTAAATTCATGTCAATGGTAGTCGCCATCTGTAAAGAAATTGGGAAAACCTTTTTTTTAAAAATTCATTCACGGGATACTGATGTTTGTAGCAAAGCAAACATTTATTGCCCATCCCCAATTGCCCTCTAGATGGTGGTGGTGAGCTGTCTTCTTGAATTGCTGCAGTCCATATGAATTAGGCACAACCACTTTGATCTTATGGAGGGAGTTCCAGGTTTTTGATGTAGTGACAGTGAAGGAGGTATGATATAGTTCCAAGTCAGAATGGTTAAGGGTGGAGGGATAAGTGGTATTGTGCCCATGCATCTTTTGCCCTTCTCCTTTTAAGTGGTAGAGGTTGCAGGTTTGGGAGGGGCCATAGAAAGCAAACTTGACAAGTTGCTGCTGTGCATTTTATAGATGATATGCACTGTTGTGTCATTGTGTGGTGATGAAGAGAGTTCAGAAAGAGTGTTTAAGGGTTGCTGATTAAGCAAGTTGCTTTATCCTGGATTTGAGTGTTGTTTGAATTACACTCATCATCCAGGCAAGTGGACAGTATTCCGTTACACACTTGATCAGTTTGAATTTCCAAGAAATGATTTAAGTTAATAAACATTTAAAAACTTCCAAAAGAAAATGTAGATCCTTTTTACAAAGTACTGGCTTAGTTCTTAGAGTTACCATATTATTTTGTTACTATGTGTACTGTAAACACAAACAAATGGCTGTTACTCCTATTACTTGGTTTTATGATCCTAGCTGATGGCAATATAGGACAAGCCAGAATAAAACCTGGCTTGACTGGCCACAAGTTTTATTTTTCTTTTTGGCTACCATGGGAGGTCAGTTACTCAACAGTCACCAGAAGCTGCAACATAGTATAAATAGGTTTAGAAAAGAAAAAAATAAAAACTATATTACAAACTATATTGTTGTGGGCAAATCACAAGTTACCATTTATTCAGCTACTTATTAAGAAATCTCACAGACAATCAAGTACTGAAACCATGATTTAAACTGCATTGCATACAGCAACCAAAATAAGACCGTCAAATAATCAAGTTAAACCTCACAACTCAACTTGGCTATTACCCGATTAATGGTGGAACTTAGCAAAGATTTCAACTAACAGTGTCTGTCTCTGGATGTGTCCGGCATTTGATCCTTATGCAAAGCTGCTCTCCGGAGTTCTGCTGAAGAGAGTGTTATGCTGTTCAATCCCGTGTGTCCTTCAGGTCTCCGTGATATTATTGATAATTTTTTAAGTCCTTTCATCCAAATTACTGCAAGAAAACAAGCTACAGACTTATCAGATGTAGCTCCACTGTTCCTGGTTACTTCGCTATTAGCTGTCTGTTTGAAGACACAGCTTTCCTGCAGTTAACTCCTTAAATTCTTCTGCAGGGCAATCCTTGTCCTTGTAGCATAAAACAGTCAGCTTATCAAATATCAAAGCAAATTTGTTCATATAGTTTCAACTGCCTTTTTAAAAGTTTAATCTATTTTTCTAATCAACCTGTTTAGAAATGTTATTACACACCAATGGAGCAGGTGGGACCTGAACCCTAGACAACAAGGTGCAGGGCTGGATGAACACAGCAGGCCAAGCAGCATCATAGGAGCAGAGAGGCTCTGATCTCCTAGTCCAAGGTAGGAACATTACCATGTGCCTCAAGAGGACCTACAACTCCCTCTTTTCACAGACGTGGCTAATTGGTTTCAATTCTTGTAGAAGTTTGAGCTTGTCCCTTAACAGTTTATTACATACAGATTTGCTGCTTCTATCTGTGCGGAACAGTTTATCTTTGATGTCTCATTAATAACGTTATTAAAGTTGTGATAGTGTAAACTATCACAATATTAGGAACATTTGAAGAATCTCATCACAAATATCAGAAAGATTCATCCACTTTATTCCATCAATGCACTTGCACATACTCAACTTCATTGCATAGTCACCCTTATCGCCACACTAAAGCATCTTGTGCATCTGGCATGGATGTAATTGGCTTTCTTGCAACAAATTTCAGTGCACTTACTTGATGCTACTTTCTTCAGGCTAACGTCCCTCCCAGAGACCAACGTTCCCTCTAAGCTGCACACTTACATAGATGTTGAGAAGTTCTGTGTATGTTAATCAGTGTGCCGATATATTGCTTCTGTTTCCAGAAGCCACTATGGTGGGTGGACCTCTCAGGTCTGCATAACAGGAAGAAACATTAGAGAGAACATTTCAATAGACCTTTAAAACAAACTGCTACTCACAACACTATTACTTAACATGGATGCCCTAAGGTCACCTCTTCAACAACCATATGAGATGTCTCCTTTACTAACACCTCCGCAGCCTTGCGCTTCTGGAGCTTCCTTCTGAATTCTATGCACTTCAGGACTCCTCTCTAGCCCTAACTGCTTGCAGAATGTTGATAACAGCATGAACTCCTTTGGTCTCCCCTGCTCCCCTAGCAGTCATACAACTCAAGTCAGCAGAAACCTTAGCAATCATCTCCCTCAGCTGTTTTGAAATGACTAATGTTTGATTTTAAAAAGTCAGATATTCACACAATTGAAAAATTAGAATCTATTTTTCCTTCTCTTTAGAACCCAAGTTCTCAAATAAAAGAACTAATCAGCCTTCATAAGACTAAAATATATTCTTTTTATGCTGTAACCTAAAATTGTGAACTAATTGGGTTGTTCTTCAATTTTTAAATGCTAAAGATGATCTTAAGATGATATCCTCCTTTTTAGACAAACACTTAGGATTGAAGATGATTCACTTGCACTCTGTGTTGATGGATTTTGAGATGTCTGATAAAGTTTAACGTGTAATCTGCAGCCACTGCAGCATTTGGGGTTAGGTGATGCTTGTAATGGGAGGCACTGTTTGAGGGGTCAGGCAGAAGTGATGTTTGGATGTTTGTACAATCTCTCAGATGCCTCAACTTCATGTCTGCATATGTCTCACGAAGTCCATGTTTAGTATCTTCCAAATTCTCAATTTTGGTCAATCACAAGCCAGGGATTCCCATGAACTGACAGACATGTTGGTTTCTTCAGAGATGCTTTAAGGATGTCTCAAGTGTTTCTGCTGTCCTCCTCTCTTCCCACAAGTTCAGAGAAGAACAATCGCTCCAAGAGTCTGGCAATAGGAATATGAATATATGTCATGCTCCAGGTTGAGTGATTTGTGCCTCAAAGCTGGGAATGTTAGCTTGGGATAGGATGGTGCCGTTTGAATGCCTTTCCTGCCACAGGACTTGGATTGTCTTGCAAAAGGTACTGCTGATGGCAATGCTCTTTGTAGAAGTCCAAGACTTCAATGTGTACAGGAGCAAGGGGATCACTGTGGTCCAATAAATAATGACTTTAATTTTTGTGTTTGACATCCTGGCTCACAGATAGTTCTCTCTTCATTCAGCTTAAGGCAAAGGTGCATGCTACCTTCGCCAAGAGGCGGCTCCCCGGATCTTGAAAATAGCCCATAGTTTTCACTATTTCGCTGTTGACCTTCATCAACAAGGAGAGGTATTGCACTGTGGGAAAAGGTTGGAAGAGGATCTTAGTTTGTTGCGATTAGTGAAAGGCTAATTTTTGCACATGTTTTGGAGAAAAAGTTGACAATAATTGGAGCTCAGTTTCTGACTGAGCACACACTCTAAAGGTCACCTGCATACCAAAACTCAGTGACTAAGAATGAAGTGATTTTGGTTTTGGATAGAAAATGATTGAACAATGTAATTCAATCATAAAACCTCAAGATGACTTCTGGTACTCGGATGTTTTTATTAACAGAAGAAGAACTCAAATTAGTTGCAATGACTAATTTGTCTGTCCTTTCTGATAATGAAGTGTGGCTCAAGTCTCACCCCCTTCAACCTCCAACATCCAACATTGTTCCAGGGTGTATTTCAATGGCTGGTATGGGGCAGTTTCATGCTATAACTTTCTGTTGTGAGGATCATTCTGAATGTTGTTTCTAATTAACAGTATTCTTTAGTATTAGTATTCTGGAGAAGCCAATCTTGCCCTGAACATTTTCAGCAGCAAGTTTTGAGAATACTCCATCCCTAGGACCATAGATATATTTTCTGGATCATCTAATCTATTTTCAGGACAGCTACATGCAGCAGATCATGGATACACGGGGCATTAAGGCACCCAGTTGCAGGATGCCACATAGATTTGCATTTACTCTTTGGTGACAGAACCCATATAAGCAGGAAGATGCTATGAATGTTGATGAGTTTATGGAAATAGTCCTAGATCTAGCCACACAGCACAGAGAACTGAGTGTTCATGCAGTGTGCCACTTCTTCCCACCAGCATCAGCTCTTTGCTGACTACATTGATACATAGAAACAAAGAAGATAGGAGCAGGAGGAGGCCATTTGACTCTGAGCCTGCTCCGCCATTCTTCACAATCATGGCAGATTGTCCAACTCAACAGCCTAATCCTGCTTTTTCCCCAAACCTCTGATCCCATTCGCCCCAAGTGCTATAATCTAGTCACCTCTTGAATACATTCAATGTTTTGGCATCAACTGCTTCCTGTGGTAATGAATTTTACAGGCTCACCACTCTTTGGGGGAAGAAATGTCTCATTTCCATCCTAAATAGTCTACCCAAATCACGAGTACACGAACACCAACTGGCTACAAAAAAAAAAACACAACCAATACTCACTCATCTCAATCCACATGGACAAGGAGAACCACGACTTCGACTGGGACAACACCAAGATCCTGGGACAAGCTAGGCAGAGACAAGCACGAGAATTCCTGGAAGCATGGCACTCCATGAAGGATGCTATTAATAAATACATTGAACTCGACCCAATATACATTCCACTACGAAGGAAAACCGGAAGTGAAGCAATCCATCTCAATGGACCCCCAAGTTTAAAAACCAGGCAGGAAAACACACCGATGCTTCATTGGAGGCTGCACTGAGGATGTTACCAAGTATGGTAACGAAACGTCTGCAAAACAACAAACCAGCTTGGCGAGCGAACCAACCTCAACACCCACAACCCGAGGTTCAGATCTACTCCAAAACCTACCCCAAATCCTCATACTGTGACCCCTGGTTCTGTACATTTCCACCATTGGGAACATTCTCCCTGCATCTACCGTCTAGTCTGGTTAGAATTTTATAAGTCTGTACGAGAACGACATCCCCCCCATCCCCCACCCAACCACCCCCCGCCTCATTCGTCTGAACTTTAGCCAAAACAATCCCAACCTAGTTAATCTCTCCTCATGTCAGACCCGCCATTCCTGGAATCAGCCTTGTCTCAGTTCCACTGAACATACCAATACTGCATTTCAGCAACTGGCAAATGTCACATTCCTCTTGTATAATATTCCCTTTGGACATCTTTCCTGCAGCTGGAGCACTGTATGTGGAAACAATATTTCCTGATAATGTAGAGGTGCAAGGTTGACCTTTCCCACCACTCTTGCCTAGCATCTGCCTCAGTACAGAGTCCAGTCTTGCACTTCATCTATAAAGTCAGTACATCCCAGTAGTTTTTCTAATCAAATGACATTCAATACTCCAAAGTCTGCAAGTAAAGCAACAGCTGTTTGACAAGCAAATCCTAACCATTTATGTATCTAGTGTCGATAGTTGATAAAAAGTTGTTTTAAACCAGTTTATGGATAAATTCACCTCTTTTTCTGCGACCACAGCACCATGGTATTAAATAGCATGCACCAAGTCAAAATATAATTGGCTTAAGGCAAGTGGTTTCTTAAAAATCATCCTGGGTTCCCAGTCCATTACGTCGTATTATAGTACCACCAAAATGGAGCAATTTCTTAATAATAACAACGAAGCAACTTTTGAACTGTAGACTAAAATAGCAATGACAAATTAATTGTATGCTGTGTTATTACTGTGAATAGGAAATGTGCTTCTATGGCTTTCACAACTGGTGGAAGCAGCTTCTTAGAAATTTAAAAACTACCATCTCAGCAGAGTACAGTTCACAACAACTATTTAGTCATTTGTGAAATAAATTTCAGAACAGTCTTGAAAATATTTCTCTTTGGCTACTTACTGCTTCTCTTCTTCTACGTTCTTGTTCCCTTTTCCTAGCCAATTCTCTTTCTTTATCCAATGATTCCTGTTGTGCTTCATTCTCCTCTTGCATTGTCTGCTCAGTCAATTTCTCATTGACTTCGACTTGAACCGTTTGACTCTCTTCTGGGATAGTTTCTTTCTCTTTTTCTCTGCAACACAAGCATCACTTTAGTGGGACTGCTTCAAAGGAAATTTTATGTTTGAGTAAGGTAATTAAGCAAGCATATGGGATACTTAACTTGATAAATAGGGTTATTGAATACAAAAACAAAAGATACACAAAACATTGGTCAGCTGGAGTAATGTGGAAAATTCTGCGCACTGCATTTTCAGGTGTAAAAAGACACATAGAAAATAAAGCAGTAGCTTATCGCAGTAATTCCAGTGAATGAGGAATATAGTAACGCACGGATGTTGGAGAAGCTGGAATCGATTGATTTCGGAGCAGAACAGGTTAAGGAATAACTAATAAGGTATTCAAAACAAAGAGCACTCTTAATAGTTTCTCCCTATTTATTCTATTTTCTCTGGTACACGGATCAGCAACCAGTATCAGATTTAATATCATTCACAAAAACACAAAATAGAGGGAAACTTGGAAGAAATTTCTTCACACAGATGGCTGTCAAGATCTGAAACATATGGAAGTTTGATGAAATACATTCAGTCCCTCAAATATGCTCCATTCTTCAAACAGATCATGGCTAAAATTTTACCTCAGTGTAATCTTTCTGCACTACCCTATGGGTTTGGAATTTTCTAAGATTCACCGCCTGATGAATGTTACAACAATAGCGCTTACAGATCTCAATTTGATCCAGAAGAAAGCCACTTCCTTGTTTAGCTTCTCATCTGGCCTTTCATTAAGCATACTTTCTGTAGAATGAACTACAGAATCTCAGTTTTAATCGGTGTCAAATCTAAAAAAATCAACCAACTTTGGGCTGCAATAGCATGAACCAGAGTACCATGACTCTCGGGTTCCCCTCCTGATCTAGACTTGTCACTATTCCTTCAGAGTTTCTGGTCCAAAAGTGCTGGAACTGCTTGTTCTGGGATAATGTGAAAGCAAAGATTGTAATGGTTCAAGGTGAATCCACATAATCACCATGTCAACCACAACAAGGAACAGGCAATAAATTCTAGCTGAGTCATTGACAAGCATTAAGATATGTCTAAAATGGCTACTTTTATAAAACCAATTCTAGATACATCACTTCACAAAATCTCTTACATCAGCAGTAGCTGTGCACACCATCATACAACATTTCATACTGTCAGTGATGCTACAGGGTAGGTATGTTCAACAGTGAGTTCTGACCGTTTTTTTTTCCTTCAGCCACTTTACAGCCAAGCATCAAATATGCTGAGGCAGTGTGACAATATCCTATGCCTGCTGACCCACATCATTTGCTACTTCCTCACGACCACAAATTTTAAATTATATTTCAATACCTCAACAGCCATTCCTTCTCATCGGCAATATCCATCAGCACTCAATCACCTCTTCAAATTTTCTGCTCCTTCAATTTGGATCAATTATGAATTCCTAACCCTGCCCTTTGCCTGTGGGAACTGTGCCTTCCAATATTCAAGCACAATGTTGAAATTTCTTCCCTCTTTCATTCTAGCCCTCCACCACCCTCAAATCCTTTTAACACCCTCCCTAAAACCCCCTTCTTTGACCAAGCTTTTGGTCACCCTCAAGGTATTTTTAAAATTTCACAATTTGCAAAAAGTATATTTGAGGCTCAGAAAGACACATTTTTAAATCAGTAAAAAATTCAAGGATAATGGGGAAGGTAGGAAAGTGGAGTTGGATCATCAGATCCTCAAAATCTCACTGAATGGCAAAGAGTTGGTGGACTGAATGCTCCCTATGTCTTATGGTTTTCCAAATAATGAAATTCTAATTTGGATTATAGTAGGCTAGATATTCACCTTATGGTGCTGCAGCTTCAAATATCAAGGAAAATTGGGAGACAACAGCCTAGTGGTATTAACGGTGGACTGTTAATCCAGAGATGCAGGTCATGTCCTGTCACAGCAGATGGTGGAACTTGAATTCAATAAGAATCTGGAATTAAGAATCTAATAATGACCACGAATCTATTGTCAATTGTTGGGAAAACGTTTCCAGTTCACTAACGTCATTTAGGAAAGCAAACTGCTGTCCTTACCCAGTCTGGCCTATTTGTGACTCCAAACCCACAGCAATGTGGTTGACTCTTAATTGCCCACTAGGCAATACATGTTGGCCTAGCCAGTGACGCCCTCATCCTGTGAATGAATTAAAACGAAGCCAACTAGAATCCTGGTCTAACTACATGCATCTTGTAGCTCAGCATAGTCTTCTGTTATGTCCGATTTCACAGTATTGAGATTTGTGCTAAAACATTCTTATTACCAAGTGAAGACGGCAATTAAATGAATTGTGGAATGCAATCAATGAGCATTGGAGGAGAATTTGAGCACTCTTCACTTATAGAATGTTTTATTGCAATAAGTTATCAACTTTGAGTCAAACTGAGTGATTTTGGACCCATCAGAATGATCAATTAAACATTTCACACTTCTGGCACTTACTAAAACCATCATTCCAGGGTAAGATCATAGTTCACAGAATCCCTACAGTGTGGAAACAGGTGATTTAGCCCAACAAATCCACACCGACTCTTTGAAGAGCATTCCATCCCTACCCGATCCCTGTAACCCTGCATTTCCCATGGCCAATCCACCTAACCTACACACCCCTGGGTACTACAGGCAATTTAGCATGGCCAAGCCACCTAATCTGCACATCTCTGGACTGTGGAGGAAACCTGAGCACCCAGAGGAAACCCGTACAGACACAGGGAGAATGCGCAAACTCCACACAGACAGGTGCCCGAAGCTGGAATTGAACCCAGGTGCTAGGAGGCAGTAGTGCTAACCACTGAGCCACCGTGCTGCCCAAGTTATCAAGACTTTAACAGAGTAACACTCCATAGCCATTCTGGAATGGGAAGATTGTGACATAATGGTAATGTCACTTGACGAGTATTCCAGAGTCCCAACATAGTGGGGGCATGGGTTTGAATCCCGTGAAATTTGAAAATGTTGACCACGTAACCACTGTCTATTGTAAATAACCAATGTCCTTTAGCAAAGGAAATCAGTTGTCCTTACTTGGCCTGATCTACATGTGACATTGGATCCATGGCAATGTGGTTGACTCCTAACTGCTCTCTCATATGGCCTTGCCAATTCAAGGGCAATAAGTGTTGATTCAGCCAGCAATGGCCATATTTATGAACAAATTTTAAAAAAAATGTAATTTAGCATAAAAACAAAAGCTGACTGTAAAAGCCTTTACGGGCATGTAGAAAGGAAGTGTTTATCTAAAATGAATGGAATTATTACAGGCAGTGTCAGGGGAATTTATAACGGGAAACAGAGAAATGACAGAGAATTTAAATATTACAGTTTCACTGAGGAAGATTAAAAAAAAACAAACAAAAAAAACCAAAAAAAAAAAATCGCCTAGAGTTTAGCATACTTGGATTTTCAGAAAGCATTTGATAAAGTTCCCCACAGGAGGCTGGTTAGAAAGACTAAAACACATGGGATACAAGGTGACATACTTACATGATTAATAATTAGCTGACAGATTGAAAACAGTATATATAAAATGTATGTATGTATAAAATGGATCACTCACACTGGCAGACAGTGACTAGTGGGATAATTGAAGGATCAGCAATTAATCCCCAGCTGTTCACAATATAGATAATCAATGATTTGGAGTTGGAGACCATATACAATATTTCCAAACTGCAGATGATACAAAGCTAAGCAGGCATGAGAGTGACAGGAAGATGTAAAGCAGCTTCAGGAGAATTTGGTCAGACTTAGTGAATGAGCAAGAATGAGGCAGATGGAAAATAATGTGGAAAAGTTTGCAAAGAGAAACAGACATGCAGAGTACTTCATAAACAGTGAGCAATAGGTATAGATGTACAAAAGGACCTTGGTTTTCTAACAAGCAGGTGGAGCAATCTATTGGGAAGGAATAGAAGCCTTTGTTGTAAGAGACTTTCAGTACAAGAGTAGTGAAGTCTTGCTTCCATTGTGTAGGAGCTTGGAACATAGAACATAACAGCGCAGTACAGGCCCTTCGGCCCTCGATGTTGTGCTGACCTGTGAAACCATTCTGAAGCCCATCTAACCTACACTATTCCACTATCATCCATATGTTTATCCAATGACCATTTAAATGCCCTTAAAGTGGGCGAGTTTACTACTTTTGCAGGCAGGGCATTCCACGCCCTTACTACTCTCCGAGTAAACAACCTACCTCTGACATCTGTCCTATATCTATCACCCCTCAAATTTAAAGCTATGTCCCCTCGTGCTAGCCATCACCATCCAAGGAAAAAAGCTCCCACTGTCCACTCTATCTAATCCTCTGATCATCTTGTATGTCTCTATTAAGTCACCTCTTAACCTTCTTCTCTCTAACGAAAACAGCCTCAAGTCCCTCAGCCTTTCCTCATAAGACCTTCCCTCCATACCAGGCAACATCCTGGTAAATCTCCTCTGCACCCTTTCCAATGCTTCCACATCCTTCCTATAACACGGCGACCAGAACTGTACGCAATACTCCAAGTGCGGCCGCACCAGAGTTTTGTACAGCTGCAACATGACCTCATGGCTCCGAAACTCAATCCCTCTACCAATAAAACCTAACATACTGTACGCCTTCTTAACAACGCTATCAACCTGGGTGGCAACTTTCAGTGATCTATGCACATGGACACCGAGATCTTTCTGCTCATCCACACTACCAAGAATCTTACCATTAGCCCAGTACTCTGTATTCCTGTTACTCCTTCCAAAGTGAATCACCTCACACTTTTCCGCATTAAACTCCATTTGCCACCTCTCAGCCCAGCTCTGCAGCTTATCTATGTCCCTCTGTAACCTGCAACATCCTTATGCACTATCCACAACTCCACCGACTTTGGTGTCATCCGCAAATTTACTAACCCATCCTTCTACGCCCTCATCCAGGTCATTTATAAAGGTGACAAACAGCAGTGGCCCCAAGACAGATCCTTGAGGTACACCACTAGTAACTGAACTCCAGGATGAACATTTCCCATCAACCACCACCCTCTGTCTTCTTACAGCTAGCCAATTTCTGATCCAAACCGCTAAATCACCCTCAATCCCATGCCTCCGTATTTTCTGCAATAGCCTACCATGTGGAACCTTATCAAACGCTTTACTGAAATCCAAAAACACCACATCAACTGCTTTACCCTCATCCACCTGTTGGTCACCTTCTCAAAGAACTCAATAAGGTTTGTGAGGCACAACCTACCCTTCACAAAACCGTGTTGACTATCCCGAATCAAATTATTCCTTTCTAGATGATTATAAATCCTCTCTCTTATAATCCTTTCCAACACTTTACCCACAACCGAAGTAAGGCTCATTGGTCTATAATTACCAGGGTTGTCTCTACTCCCCTTCTTGAACAAGGGGACAACATTTGCTAGTCTCCAGTCTTCTGGCACTATTCCTGTAGACAATGACGACATAAAGATCAAAGCCAAAGGCTCTGCAATCTCCTCTCCAGCTTCCCAGAGAATCCTAGGATAAATCCCATCCGGCCCAGGGGACTTATCTATTTTCACACCTTCCAGAATTGCTAACACCTCCTCCTTATGAACCTTAATCCCGTCTAGTCTAATAGCCTGTAACTCAATATTCTCCTCGACAACATTGTCTTTCTCCTGTGTGAATACTGATGAAACATATTCATTTAGCGCCTCTCCTATCTCTTCAGACTCCACGCACAACTTCCCACTACTGTCCTTAACTGGCCCTAATCTTACTCTAGTCATTCTTTTATTCCTGACATACCTATAGAAAGCTTTAGGGTTTTCCTTGATCCTACCTGCTAAAGACTTCTCATGTCCCCTCCTGGCTCTTCTTAGCTCTCTCTTTAGGTCCTTCCTGGCTAACTTGTAACTCTCAAGCGCCCTCACTGAGCCTTCACATCTCATCTCTACATAAGCCTCCTTCTTCCTCTCAACAAGAAATTCAACTTCTTTAGTAAACCACGGTTCCCTCGCTCAACCACTTCCTCCCTGCCTGACAGGTACATACTTCTCAAGGACACGCAGTAGCTGTTCCTTGAACAAGCTCCACATTTCAATTGTGCCCAGCCCCTGCAGTTTCCTTCTCCATCCTATGCATGCTAAGTCTTGCCTAATCGCCTCATAATTGCCTTTCCCCCAGCTATAACTCTTGCCCTGTGGTATATACCTATCCCTTTCCATCGCTAAAGTAAACATAACCTAATTGTGGTCACTATCACCAAAGTGCTCACCTACCTCCAAATCTAACACTTGGCCTGGTTCATTACCCAGTACCAAATCCAATGTGGCCTCACCTCTTGTTGGCCTATCTACATACTGTGTCAGGAAACCCTCCTGCACACATTGGACAAAAACTGACCCATCTAAAGTACTCGAACTATAGCGTTTCCAGTCAATATTTGGTAAGTTAAAGCTCCCCATAACAACTACCCTGTTACTTTCACTCCTATCCAGAATCATCTTTGCAATCTTTTCCTCTACATCTCTGGAACTTTTCAGAGACCTATAGAAAACTCCCAACAGGGTGACCTCTCCTTTCCTGTTTCTAACCTCAGCCCATACTACCTCAGTAGACGAGTCCTCATCAAACATCCTTTCTGCCACCGTAATACTGTCCTTGACTAACAATGCCACACCTCCCCCTCTTTTACCACCTTCCCTGATCTTACTGAAACATCTAAACCGCGGAACCTGCAACAACCACTCCTGTCCCTGCTCTATTCATGTCTCCGAAATGGTCACAACATCGAAGTCCCAGGTACCAACCCATGCTGCAAGTTCACCCACCTTATTCCGGATGCTCCTGGCATTGAAGTAGACACACTTCAAACCACCTTCCGGCCTGCCGGTAGACTCCTGCGACCTTGAAACCTTATTCATGACCTCACTACTCTCAACCTCCTGTACACTGGAGCTACAACTCAGGTTCCCATCCCCCTGCTGAATTGGTTTAAACCCTCCCAAAGAGCATTAGCGAATTTCCCCCCCAGGATATTGGTACCCCTCTGGTTCAGGTGTAGACCATCCCGTTTGTAGAGGTCCCACCTACCCCAGAACGAGCCCCAATTATCCAGGTATCTGAATCCCTCCCTCCTGCACCATCCCTGTAGCCACGTATTCAACTGCTCTCTCTCCCTATTCCTTGCCTCGCTAGCACGTGGCACGGGTAACAAACCAGAGATAACAACTCTGTTTGTTCTAGCTCTAAGCTTCCACCCTCGCTCCTTGAATTTCTGCCTTATGTCCCCATCCCTTTTCCTACCTATGTCGTTGGTGCCTATGTGCACCACGACTTGGGGCTGCTCCCCCTCCCCCTTAAGGATCCCGAAAACACGATCTGTGACATCACGGACCCTAGCACCTGGGAGGCAACACACCAACCGCGAGTGTCTCTCGTTCCCACAGAATCTCCTATCTGTCCCCCTAACTATGGAGTCCCCAATGACTAATGCTCTCCTCCTCTCCCCCCTTCCCTTCTGAGCAACAGGGACAGACTCTGTGCCAGAGACCTGTACGCCATGGCTTACCCCTGGTAAGTCGTCCCCCCCAACAGTATCCAAAACGGTATACTCGTTTTTGAGGGGAACGGCCACAGGGGATCCCTGCACTGTCTGCCTGTTCCCTTTCCGTCCCCTGACTGTAACCCATCTACCGTTTTCCTGTACCTGAGGTGTGACTACCTCCCTGTAACTCCTCTCAATTACCCCCTCAGCCTCCCAAATGAACCTTGGTTAGGTCACAGTAGGAGTAGTGTGCGCCATTTGGTCTCCTTATTGTAAGAAAGATGGTATTGCCTTACAGAAGGTGCAAAGGTTCACCAAACTTGTTCCCAGGATGACAGGGCTGTCCTATGAAGCGAGATTGGGTAAATTGGTCCTGTATTCTCCAGAGTTTGAAGAGTGAGAGGTGATCTCAGTGAAATTTACTAAATACTTAAAAAGGGATTGGCAAGGTAAATGCAGGCACAATTCCACTTATTGGGTAATGCAGAACCAGGGCACAATTTAAAAAAAAGGCAAGAGAGGTGGCACTTAAGTCCAAGACAGGGATTTTTTTAAAATTCAGAATTGTGAATCTTTGGAATTCTATCGCAGAGGGCAGTGAACCTCAGTCTTCGAGTATATTTCAGGTAGGGTTTGATAGATTTCTGATTACCAATGGTGCACAGGATTACGGGGATGGGGTGGGTAAGAGGCATTGAAATGTTTGATTAGCCATAATCATGTTGAATGGGAGGGGCAGGTTGGATCAGCTGAATGGTGAACTCCTGCTCCCATGGCTGTAAAACAGCACCTGAAGCAGCAAGAACATTCAGAAAGTTGCTGCTGCAAGATCATTTTTATAGGTTCAAACCCACTCTTTTGGTATAATTATTACCGTTGCTGCTCCGAAGCCATTTTCTTTTGTTCATTCTCAGTTTGTTCAAGATGGCACATTTTCATTTCTTGCTGAGCTTTCAAAGCTTTTTCACGTTGTTCTTTCTCCATTGCTGCTTTTCTAAACATTTTGAAACTCTCACTCGAAGATTTTATTGCTGGTGGAGTTGTGGTTGTCATTTTGCCCAAACTTGCCCAAGAATTTGCATTCTTGACCTCAATATCCTAGTATCAAAAAATAAGCAGCTTGTGACATTGTGGGTTGATGAAAGGAATCTCATAGCAAGTGACAAAGAGTTTTACTTCAATATTTTCATGTTAATTAAGAAAACTTAATGGATTTCAATAGTCACATTATGTTTCTTCAATCAATAAAAAATCTGCACTTAATAATAGAAGAGTGTTCTAGTGTACAAGAGCACAGGGAAATGATGTGATGTGGAAGACAACATAAAAGCAGGCACAAAGACAATGGAGGAGAGAAAGGATACAAACAAGATCATTGCGCATGGAAAATTCTTGCTTTTTTTTTTAAATGTAACATTACTTGCATTATATTTGGCCTTGGAACATTAACTTTGGGCACTCCACAAAACTTTGAATATAATGAGGTATTTAGTAGAGGTCTAACAAGCATAAGTTACACGTTTGTTCTTAAATCGAATTAAGAATTGAGGTTTTTATGTATGAAACCTTTCTAAATACTTCAGATATGGAAGATGCCCATTCTGATGAAAATAAAAAGAAAGTCGTGACAATAAACTAGACCTGTGAGGTTTTACCTTCCTTGTTCCAAACAAGGTGGGAGCAAGACAGGTGATTTTAAATGTTTTTGGTTGCCTAGGATATTAATGCAGACCTGGAAGTAGATTCGGCAAACTAATGTGCGAGTTAGGGAGTGCTGTATGTTGAAGGTTGCTATCAATGATTCAAATCAGCTTGATTTACTACACGGGTTTCGGATTCTTAAAATTGACTTCAAGTAATCCTGCAAACTGATGTCTCAAATACCTGGACAAGTCACTAGAACTTTAGCTTTGCAGGGTATTATGATTTTTCAACTGGAGGCAAATCAAAAGAATTTGAAAAAATTATTAAGCTGCACAAGTGAAGCTGGTTTGAAAACAGATAAGTGTTTATTCTGCATCGCAGAACACAAATCCCAAAGCATACAGAAAACTGTTTTTAAAAATCACGTCAGTAAACAACTGATGAAGCGCCAGTGCCACAGCACTCTTATGGAAATACATAATTACTGAACTGAAATATTCCCATATTTTTATGTAAAGCACTTTTGCATAAGAATACAATTCCTAACTGTACCTTGTCCATTTGTTGATTCTAAATACATGGCCTACAATTATCAGCAAACTTAAATTAATTTAACCTTCACAGACTCCCCATAGCTTGAATATATCTTTCATACCACCTCAACTCGAATACCTTTTGCTAGAAGATTTGCAAGTTTTTATAGCTTCACTGAATAATTAATGTCTTTAGCATTATCCCTATAGCCTTAACCTTCTCAAATGTCAGCACCCAAAAAAAATGAACTAGACTGTAATTTCAATGGCTTCCACAGTAGTAGCAGTCCTCAACCAAATGACTTCTGCAAAATTGATAGGTGTAGAAAATAGTTTTAGCACAGGTCTTCCGTGATTAAATAGTGATTAATACAAAACGAAAGGAAAACTTGAGCCTTTGTCAGATAGTTTTCTTCTATCATTTTAGTTTTGATTGGCCACCTTTGCTTTCAAGGGGTTAACGTTCATGAATCTTAAAGTAACAATCTGACTGTTTATCAAGAAGGGTTTATTTTAGAAAGATAACTAGTGAGAGACACACATCATGTCAAAAGATTATTGCTCTAAATGACATACTCAAGACTCTTGTTAGTGAAGCATTTTAGTTTAACATCACAGTAAAAGATAAAGGCCAAGATATATTTCAAGACAAGTTCTCATTCAATAGTTCAATTTAAAATGGACATTAAAAATGTTTCAATTCAGTCAGTAATTCTAAAACTAAAAGTACAATAAAAATAAAAATCCCACCTTCCTTGTAACAAGACAGGCTTTAGCCTCCAAGGCTAGTTTATTGTCGCCAGTTGCTTTAATTTCACCAGGAGGGGCAGCTTCCACATCTGAAATATTGAGAAATATTTCTGCTATTAGCGATACTAAAATAATAAAATTACAATGGCCCAGGTGGTTTAGTCAGCAATTATGAACTTGCTAACGAATCAAAAAGAACACTGACCATAAAGATCTAGTCATCTATATTGTGTGAACTCCCCTTTGGGCTGCACTAACAATGAGTCACCAAGTGAGATGATAAGTTAACAAGCAGCAGCAGTGCTATCAACAAGCAAGCAGCCAATCACACTTAAGCATTCACACAAAGGAATCGAAAAACACTTAACATCCTAAATTTAAAAGTGGATATAGAAAACATAAATGATGGCTGAATTAACATGAAAACGTAAATAAAATGAAGATAGAATTTTTTTTATAAAAGTGACATTTTACAAAGAAGAAATGTGATATTCCCTAAGCATAAAATTAGCTTCTCAGGGCCACTGTGTGCATCAACAGTAAATATGAAGTTCACATAGTTTTTAAACTCTAACCTCACTCTGCAATTTTCAAGATGAACTGCATAAAAATGTGAGCGGGGGAGGGGCCATAAAGATATTTAAAACCATTGCAGCTGGAGAAATTCAGATGTGGTAGCAGCTATGGAGAGCAGAGTTAATGCTGCGATTCAAAATGTTAACTCTGCTTTCACTCCATGGATTTTGCTGGACTTGAGTTTCTCCAGTAATTTCTGTTTTCGTTTCAAATTTCCACCCATCAACGGTTCTTTTGTTTTATAAAAAAAAGTTAGCTTAATTCATTTAATGACTTAGAAGTAAGGTAAGGTGTTGTTTGATAAAGAAGACAAGTAGAATTATAGATAGTAGGAACTGCAGATGCTGGAGAATCCGAGACAACAAGGTGCAGGGCTGGATGAACACAGCAGGCCAAGCAGCATCACAGGAGCAGAAAGGCTGACATTTCGGGCCTAGACCCTTCATCAGAAAAAGGGGGAGGGGAAGGGGGTTCTGAAATAAAGAGGGAGAGAGTGGGAGGCGGATAGAAGATGGATAGAGGAGAGGATAGGTGGAGAGGAAACAACCAGGTCGAAGAGGCGGGGATGGGGCCAGTAAAGGTGAGTGTAGGTGGGGAGTTAGGGAGGGGATAGGTCAGTCCAGGGAGGACGGACAGGTCAAGGGGGAGGGGAGATTTTGAAGCTTGTGAAATCCACATTGATACCATTGGGCTGCAGGGTTCCCAAGCGGAATATGAGGTGCTGTTCCTGCAACCTTCGGGTGGCATCGTTGCGGCACTGCAGGAGGCCCAGGATGGACATGTCGTCTGAGAAATGGGAGGGGGTGTTGAAATGGTTCGCGACTGGGAGGTGCAATAGAATTATAGATCAACACTGGCCGGTGCTTTTCTTTCTGATCCAACAGGAAGTTCCAACCACAATTTCTCACAATTGGTCAAGAGTTTCTAGGATATGAAATAACTTAAGTTGATTTAAATATTCTTTTCACATTGCTATACTTCACCATGCAAAAATATTCCATTCAAAAATAAACTGATTCTGTTCCATTCAGTGATACAATGATAGTTTTCACATATGCCAACTGCTTTTTAAAAAGGGAGATTGAAATCCAGTGTAAATTTGAAATTTTGTTAAGATTTCAAATGCACTTCTAAATCCCAATTCCTGGCTTATATTTTTATTATATAAATTCATGCGCATCTATGCTGGCGAGAAGGATAAGTTGGTCAGCCATGTATTCTGTTAAGATTGTTTGCTGATCAATCTGCCATATTTAGCTTTAGAACGTAACAGATTATATATTTGAACTTCCGCATTAAATGAAAAATTATAAAAATGAAACACCAAACTTACTTTGTTGTCGCATAATTGGCATTTGGTCACTGGATGTTTCAAGAGGTGGCTTGGTTTGATTAATTGCTAATTTATTATGTTCCTCTTCTGGTGACTTTGGTCCCTGGAAAAGAACACTTGGTAAACTATTTTCTTTAAAATTTATGCTGGTTTAAAATGCATTTAAGAAAATAAATACAGTATGAACAGATTTTACTTTACCTTGACATGAGCGGACAGATGAGGAGGACTCACTGACGGACATTTAAATTTCAACAAAGGAGGTGAATGCAATGGGGACACAACTGCAGGAAGTCCTTAAAAAACAAGAAATCAAATGTTAATTCAGACATGACTAACTTTGAAATTTCAATTAAAGGGTTAAAATTGAAATTAGAATTAGAATTCTTGACTAGAATTGTTTCAAAAGCTTAAAGAAAATAATATCAAGTCAGCAGACAGTTTTCTAAATGAAGAAGGATCCTGACGCAAAACATCAACTTTCCTGCTCCTCTGATGCTACCTGGCTTGCTGCGTTTCTCCAGCTCCACACTGTGTTGTCTCTGACTCCAGCATCTGTAGTTCATGCTATCTCTTTCGAAATGGCTAATTACTTTTCCTCCCTTCATTTGCAGCAGTAAGTGTCTTTCCAAGGCAAGACTGGTAAAGGCACCATTTTGCTCTTATTACAGCTCATTATACTTACAAGTTGGAAAAACTTCCATCTGCAACTGTGGTTAAAGATGGGATGTTTCCTTATCAAAAAAAAAACTCATTCTGGCCATACAGTGGGTGGACCTGTGTCAGTTCAAGATGGCTCTCACCACTATTTTCAGGACAGTTAAAAATAGGCAACGAACTCTGACATCCCATGAAAGAATAACAAAACCTGCCTAATTATTAGATAACACGGTTTAGAGCTGGATGAACATAGCAGGCCAAGCAGCATCAGAGGAGCAGGAAAGCTGACGTTTCGGGTCTAGACCCTTCTTCAGAAATGGGGGAGAAGGGGATTCTGAAATAAATAGGGAGAGAGGGGGAGGCGGATAGAAGATGGATAAAGGAGAAGATAGGGGCAGGTGTAGCACTTCCTGCAACTGCAGGAAGTGCTACACCTGCCCCTACACCTCCCCCCTCACCCCCATCCCAGGCCCTAAGAAGACTTTCCACATCAAACAGATGTTCACCTGCACATCTGCTAATGTGGTATACTGTATCCGCTGCTCCCGATGTAGAGGCGGCCACATCGGGGAAACCAAGCGGAGGCTTGGGGACCGCTTTGTGGAACACCTACGCTCGGTTCGCAACAAACAACTGCACCTCCCAGTCGCGAACCATTTCAACTCCCCGTCCCACTCCTCAGACGACATGTCCATCCTGGGCCTTCTGCAGTGCCACAACAATGCCATCCGAAGGTTGCAGGAACAGCACCTCATATTTCGCTTGGGAACCCTGCAGCCCAATGGTATCAATGTGGACTTCACAAGCTTCAAAATCTCCCCTCCCCCGAGCGCACCCCAAAACCAGCCCAGCTTGTCCCTGCCTCCCTAACCTGTCCTTCCTCCCACTTATCCCCTCATCCTACCTCAAGCCCCACCCCCATCTCCTACCTACTAGCCTCATCCCGCCCCCTTGACCTGTCCATCCTCCCTGGACTGACCTATCCCACCCTACCTCCCCACCTGCATTCACCTTTACTGGCTCCACCCGTCTCTTTGACCTGTCTGTCTCCTCTCCACCTATCTTCTCCTTTATCCACCTTCTATCCGCCTCCCCCTCTCTCCCTATTTATTTCAGATTTGCTCTTAATTTTCTCTTAAAACATGTTTCCAGCATTGCTGAAATCCCAAGAACAAATTTATAAAATTTGTAAGCCTTCTTTGTTTCATAGAAGCTATGAATGTTGCCACAATTGATTACACAATGATCATTTACAGCATGACTCTCAAAAAAAGCATAGAGGTACACAGAGATAGTAGGAACTGCCTTTGCTGGAGTCCGAGACAACAAGGTGTAGCGCTGGATGAACACAGCAGGCCAGGCAGCAACAGAGGAGCCGGAAAGCTGACACCCGGGTCCAGACCCAGGGTGTCGGCTTTCCTGCTCCTCTGATGCTGCCAGGCCTGCTGTGTTCATCCAGTGCTACACCTTGATGTCACAGAGGTACACAGGGTGGATATGAAGTATGAGGAGGAACTTTGAAAGGATTAAAAGAGGCTGAAGCTTCTAAGTTGGAAAAGAGGAGCTTAAATGGGGACAAAAATAACATTTTAAACAATAAATGCATACTGAAAGCATTGCTTTGAGAAAATTCTGGGCCAATGTTAAGTTCATGGCAGAAGCTATTAATGTGATAAAGGAAAGTACAGTGATGCATGTCAAGGAAGAACAGCAATGCACCACAAGCTGCAAATTGTAACAATTTGATATGGCACAATCTTGTTAAAAAAAACACAGCATGATATCAACCTCCCATTATTGCCAAGAATTGGATTTGCATTATGAAAAATAAACAGGAAGTTAGGACTGCAGTTTAATTTTAAGACCTTGTTAACAGGACAGTTCAGGTAATGGCCTTCTACATGTCACAAAGAATGTAATCAGGGTGCAAATTCAACAGGGAGAATTACGAAAGGAAACAAATCCTCTAGGAAAACGAGGAAGTGGTGTCATTTATAGCACAGAAAGAGGCTATTAGGCCCACTGACACCATGCTGGAAATACATTTAAATAATAGAGCAGAAAGGGAACAAGAATGCTCAGCTGATAGACCACTAGTCCCAACTTTCACTGAAGTCCCACATGTCCTGCTAAGTTCGCAGTAGATGATTGCAGAAGATCAAGCAGGCAGCTCACCACCAACTTCTCCTGTGAAATCAGTGATGGATGATAAATGCTGGCCTATCCAACAATATCTATATCCAACAAACAAACATCTAATTCCTGTGTGATGCTTCTGTCATTAGAAATGTTACATCAATGTCAGGCCATCAATACACACTTGCGTAAATTTGCAGCACAAAATTAATTTATGTTGTAGAATGATGGAAAAAAAACCAAACTCTCAATGCCCTCCCCCATTTCTGAAGGAGGGTCTAGGCCCTAAACATCAGCCTTCCTGCTCCTCTGATGCTGCTTGGCCTGCTGTGTTCATCCAGCTCTACACCTTGTTATCTCAATGCTCACCACAAGTTCTTCCAAAAAATTTTAGTCTTTGTTTCAAACAGCAAAATGCTGGCAAGTTTCCTATACTGCAAGAGGACATACTTCAAAAGTAATTAATTGACTGTAAATTGCTTTGGAGGTATCCTGGGTTATGGAAGGTGCAATGTAAATTTATTGGGCTGCATCTACAGCTTCTTTGGCGAAGCCTGAGCTGCATGGAGTTTGAAGTTTGATGCTGTAAGGCCTAAGGAAGCTCACGCAATATCTTATAAAACTCACCCAACCCTGCCCTTCTCCGAACACCACCACAACTGAATACCACCCTATCTATAATGCACCCTCTTTGAACAACTCACTGGATATCCAGCACAAGACTTGCATCTCTTGTGCCCCCACCATCTTTGATAGGCTGCTGTGCACCTGGACAAGCATTGGCAAAGTTATCCCTCACAGGCAACATAATGGCACAGTTACAAAGCCATACTGCCCACGGCACAGAGCTGATACTCCCTTACACATACAACCCCATTTTTGCACACCAGTCCCTTTTTAACCACATTATATACTTTATTGCTTCCTAGCAATGTTCTTCCTAAACACTACCTAAGTCAGCACTACCTTGACCCCCTTAACTGCTGTCAGCCCACATCTTGTCATTGCTTGTTGTATTCGATATTCCCCAACTGGCCAATCAGATAAATACAGGCACAAACATAAGCTTTTAATAACAGAATGCTAAAGGGAACATCACCTGTACAATGCAAATTAAATTTAAGAATCACGACTACAAATTCAGCAGTCAATGATTGAACACTGAACTCTTTGGAAGCAGGTGACAGACGTCCTGTCTGGCTTGTAACACTCATTGCAGCTTAGGTAGGTCACAAATGACATCAGTTTCCTCCAGCCCAACGTCCTCCTCAGATGACTGTTTCCATTCCTCAGCATCTAGCACATCACCTCGTTGTCTGCCCAATTGCGCAGTACATAGCATGCCAGGAACAATGTGGCACTCTGTTCAGACTATACTGGAGGGCCTTCCCAGACCAGTCCAAGCTGTGGAAACACATCTTCAGCAGCCCTTCAGATGCTACTCCACCACAGCCCTGGTTGACGAATGGACATCATTAAATCTGTGCTTTGTATGTCTGGGGATTGCACAATTGTGTCATGAGCTACGGTAATAGTTGGTAACCCTGGTCTCCCAGCAACCAGCCATGTAAGGCCCTCAGATCCTCAAACGCTCTTGGTATGTGAGAAAAGTCCAGGATGAATGAGTCATGACAGATAGAGTAGTGGGCACACACCTCCAGGAAGTAGCAACAGTTATCACAGATCACCCGAATACTTTGATCAAATGGAACCCCTTCCTGCTGACGAATTCCACAATATTATGATATTGCATTCTCAATGCCATGTGTACAGTCAAAGTCATCCTACATCTGGGGGAACTCAGCTTTATTTCTGAATCCAATTGCCTGCTGCAGCATCGATCTCATCTTGACAGGTTGAAATGAATCAATTCGATCTCACACAAACAACACTGATCCCTGTCCTGATACATCTGTGGGTGCAAAGCCGAGAGATCCCGGCAGATCACCCATCGCACCCTAGAAAGAGCCAGTTGTGTCAAGGTTTAGTTTTAAAGTCATAACCACAACCATTAGGAGAGGATGGCCACCCACTCCTGCAGCCTTCAGGTCCCACTCCAGCAGATATCCTGGGACATGTGAAGCCTATAATGGTACTGCACCTCAGTCACTGCCAGGAAACGGAGTCTGGGCTTCCTGTGCACCCCACACGTCCCGAGGGACCCTGCAGCTGTGATTTCACCTCATCCTCTGTTGGGACCTGCTGCTGGTCCTGGGCTTGGCATTAGTCCTGTTCCTCTTGTGCTCATTTTTTTAAAAAAAAAAAAAAAAAAATGTGCAACCACAGGAACCAACATACCACCAGCAGCAGGTTCTATCACTCTAGGTGGAAAGAACCCAAATTTGACACAGGAGTGATAGAATTTCTTAAATCTCAGGAGCAGTCATTGCTGTCAAACCCTGCAGATGAGCACAGTTTACTACACTGATAATAGGGAACACATCTGTATTGGACATCAATATTCCACCTCAGCACATGCAAGCTAACGGTGCTATACTAACATTATGTCACTGAACAGGTCACATCATTCAGCACACAGATAGGGGAGGACTCGTACTTGTATAGTTCTTAGCACCACTGGAAGCTGCAGTAATACTGGTTTGCCTTCAATACTCTCATTGCCGAATATCATGTTGTGCCCACGTTCAATTTGGAAACTCCATTGGCATGCATGCCTATTTGAAACAGCATTTGCTCTCAAAGCATCCTCAAACGGAATGCATATGAATGAGCACTGCAATTCCAATATAGCTGTTTGTTGCAAATGGCAGCTTCCTGTTTTGGTTGCTACTGGGGTCTGGAAAATATGGATCCCACACTTAGGCCACTAAGCTGACACTAACCTACCCAAGGTGCTGTCCAGCCATTTCCTAGGAGCACTTTGTTTCTAGAGAACGGAAACCAAGAGTTGGCAATACTGATCAGAATCAGTCAGTAACGGACCCTCCCAAAATTTCCATGTCCCCTCCACGTCAGGGCTGAAGGCGGGTCCAGGCCCAAAATGTCGACTGACCTGCTGTCTTCCTCCAGTTCCACACTCTAGTGACTCGGAATCCAGCATCTGCACTTCTTGCTATCTCCTAGTAACGACAGCCTTTGGCTCTGGTTGAAATGCCAATAAGCTAACAGACACAAGGCAATACAAGGCAAGGCATAGGTAGGGGCAAAATGAGCAGGCACTAAGAGAGCAAAGAAGCAGCTCTGAAATGCAGCTTGGTCCATTCTGAAAGCTGGATTCTGTTCATCTGTGCGAAGTGTCCTTGCAGCACCACGCTATGCATGCCTGTGCCTTGACAGAAGCCTGCCGTTGTATCAAGGAGATGCCATGATGGGCTGGCAGGTGGTGGATACCACTTGACAAGGAGCACTTGCGACTGGTGGCCATGAGTAGCTGCTGCCTAATGTGCAAGATGGAGGTTGTTTGGAGCCAGTGATGAGCTGATTCTGCCAGGTGCATGCTCTTATTTCCTTGTTGTGCTTCCAGCTATTGAGCTTGTTTGGCGACTTTGCTAAGATGAGAGAGTGTGAATATTAATAAGACAGCTTGGTGTTGACAAGGTGTTTACCAAGCAGCAATTCCCATCAAGTGGCTTCTCACCACTGCCTGGTGAGAATCTTGTTGCGGAACTTGTGAAAAGCTCAAAAGATGGAGCAAGATGATCACCAAGTCAAGATGGGCCTCCCCACGCTTGCTAGCCATTTCGGCCATAGATCTTGCTTTAGCCCATAATCGTTCAGACTTCCCTCTACAAGATTCCATACAATGTTTTTACTTCAGCCTACCGAGCAAGAGAGTGGTGAAGTCATCCTTACAATAATGACAAACTTCTTCCACCCAAATTGCAAATGAGGTGAAAGGATTTCTGAAAATAGAACTTCTCTCACCCCCAACCTCATCAGACATTAAACAGGTTTGAAATTCAGCCCAAAGTGCCAAGTAGTTGAGAAACAGTCAAGAAATCAACTAAGATTAAAATTTTAAAAATGCTCAGATCGGTGAAGTCGTGGACAGTACAGACGGTTGTCAAAGGATACAGCAGGATATAGATCAGTTACAGATATGGGTGGGGGAATGGCAAATGGAGTTTAATCCGGGCAAGTGTGGAATGTTGCACTTTGGGAGATCAAATGTTAAAGATAAGCATATAGTTAATAGCAGGACCCTGAATGGCATTGATGTACAGAGAGATCTTGGAGTTCAAGCCCATGACTCCCTATGAGCGACCATGCAGGTAAATAGGGTGGTAAAGAAGGCATATGGCATGCTTGCCTTTATTGGTCAGGGCACTGAGTTCAAGAATCAGGATGTCATGTTTCAACTTTATAAGACTTTGGTTTGGCCACATTTGGAGTCTTGCATTCAGTTTTGGTCGCCATATTACAGGAAGGATGTGGAGGCTTTGGAGAGGGTGAAGAAGAGATTCATCAGGATGCTGCCTGGATTTGAGGGTATGAGCTAGAAAGGAGAGGCTAGAAAAACTAGGGCTGTTTTCTCTGGAGCGGTGAAGGCTGAGGGTAGACTTGATAGAAGTCTATAAAATTATGAGATGGCATAGATGCAGTTGACAATCAGAATTCTGATCCCAGAGTTAAAATTTCTAACACTAATACTAGGTGGCACGCATTTAAGCTGAGGGGGAACAGCTCAAAAAGGAGATGTGAGGGGCAAGTTTTTTTTTACAACGAGTGGTAGATGGCTGCAACACACTGCAAGGGGCAGTGGTGGCAGCAGATATGATAGGGGCATTTAAGGGGCTTTTAGATAAGCACATTAATTTGCAAGGAATAGTGTGATATGGACCAAAAAGACAGGCAGAAGGGGTTAATTTAATTTGGTGTCATGTTCAGCACAACATCGTGGGCCAAAGGGCCTACTCCTGTCCTGTAGTGATCTACATTGCATGTTCTATTTTAACCTTTATTTCAAAAGGAGGAATACCTATCTCCCAAATCTTGGACTTGTCTTTCAAATAGCACTGTGGGTCTAACTGCTCCACAGACTGCGACAGTTTAAAACAAGACAGCTCATTACCAACTTCTCCAAGGCAATCAAGGATGCACAGTAAATCAAATGCCAGTGACACCTACTCACCACAAACAAATGACAAAAGTCAGAAATCACACAACACCAGGTCATAGTCCATCAGGTTTATTTATAATCACAAGCTTTCAAAGCACTGTTCCTTCATCAGGTGAAGTGATGAAGGAGCAGCGTTTCAAGAGCTTGAGATTTTAAATAAACCTGTTGGACTATAACCTGGTGTTGTGCGACTTCTGACTTTGTCCACTCCAGTCCAACACCAGCAACTCCACATGACGACAAACAAATGAAAAAAGATTACACAAAACATTTCGCAGGTGTTAATGCTTCTATGGACAGAAATATCAACTAACTGCAATCATAGCAGGGGCCTGGAGCCCCCCTTAGTGGTAGGTTTGTGAACAAGCCTGCAACACCACCTGCAACACATCCAAGATCGCAAACATTAGAGGACACCAAGAATACCAGTATAATGGGTGACAATATTTCTATTGATAGTCTGTCAAACCAAGACTCCACTGAAATGAAATAAAAACTGAAAAATGTTGGAGAAACCCAGGTCTAGCAGCACCTGTGGAGAGAGAAACAGAATTGATGTTTTGGGCCCAGTATAACTTCTTCAGAATGGAAAGGAGCGAGAAAACTGTTTTTTAACACTTGACAGGGGAGGAGATCTTGTCACTGGTGCTACTAGACTTGCTGGGTTTCTCCAGCACTTTTTGTTTGAAGATTTTTACTATCTACAAAATTTGGCTTTTTCTACCACTAAAATTAATTTGTACTAAATGCAAATAAATTGGGCAACATAATTTGCTCTGATGTTAACAAGGCTGAAGAGCTAATTGGTAAGCACCTTGAATGTGTCTTCTGAAATTGGAATAATTTACAGTTTTTGTTGTAATAAAGTTGCAAATTTAAAAATGCAATAACATTTCTATGCTGCAAAGCACATCAGTACATCCAATTAAATGTTCAAATCATACTCGATTATTGAGAGCTCAAAGTCACTGTAACCAAGTGAAATCATTACCTGGAGGTGAAATAATGATCCGTGCTGGCTCTTTTAATGATACAAGTTGCTGTGACTCAGAATGCTGCATCTTTGCTTGCCGACTACTGAACAAAGCAGGTTGTTTCTGCATCTGCTGAGACTCTGGTACTTTACAACCAGGCAATGACTGCTCTTGGTGAACAGTATTCAATGATGATTGGTGCAAAGAATATTTCATCTTGTAATTTAGGTGGTTGTGCTTTAAAAGAAGGAAGAGGTTAGTTGAAAAGACCAAATACAAAAGTGATCAAATTCTACACCATTGACATGAAAAAGGTAACAGTTACCTTTCTTTCTTCAACAGGAAGAACCTTACTTTTGCTCCATTTCTGCTTTGGTGATTTTTCTGTAGAAATAAATTTGAGAATAACACTGAACATTAAACTCATGAAAGTAAAATCAGTACATCTATACAAGTTAAATTTATGGATGGCAATTTCTACTCTTACAAGGTAATAACAATCTGAAATCCCAATATCCCTTCAGAATGAATGGTTATGTATAATTCAATTTTTTTTTTTAAGAATGCATTTGGTTCAATACTTCAGCCTCCTCCTCATCACATTGACAAGGAAGATACCTCTGTGATCCATGCAGTGTACAGTTGGGGCACTGTAATCAGCGAGGGTGGTTGTTTGAGTGGCACAACATTGTATAACCATGACAGTTTAATTGGTTGAGGCTAACACATCATAATGGTCAACTAGACAAGGAACTGACCAAATGTGGTCACCAAACTGTAACCCAGAATTTGCTTTCAGGAGAGGAGAAACAGGGATAAAAAGGACGACTTTTTTTTTAAAAAAACCTTGCATTTGTTAACCAGGTTTAAATGAATTATTTTCTGGAAGGGCATTGAAAAAGCAAAGGTATCTTGCTCATCTTCTGTTTTCCTTTCACAGCTACCCAAAAGTAGGTTTACAAACAAAATTGCACAATGCATCATTGAATGATGCAACAGAATTCACCATGATGGATTATTGGTCAATTGGGCAAACACGTGGAATGAAACAGCCCGAGTCCAACTTTTTTCGCTACATGGAAATCCAGAAGTTCCTTTATACTTGATTAGTACATTTTCATACTGTCTGCTCCTTATTTAAAGGCACACAATGTTAAAAATAGATAATGTACAGGAAAAGTGACGAAGACATTATAGGCAAAATGTAATATTATGGCATACCAAATCATATTAACAAAATCAAAGTATTGAACACAAAATATAAAAGTTAATTGAGCTATATTTATTATTTAATAAATTATAGATAGTGAGGCATTGTTCTGGGTGTACACATGAAACTGGAGTTCACAAATCACAGCCAGCTTTAATGCCTACCACAAATGATAGTGGATGATCATAGAATCAAAGATACTTGGAATCCCAGCCATCCAAAGAGCAGCCCACCCAGATCCACTTGCCATCTGATCCCTGTAACCCTGCTAATCCACCTTGCCAGCATATCCATAGATTCTATGGGCAATTTAGCACAGCCAATACATCTAATCTGCACATCTTTGGACTGTGGGAAGAAACTGGGCACCTAAAGGAAACCCACGCAGACATGGGAGAATGTGCAAACTCCACAGCAACAGTCGCCCAAGGGTGGATTAGAACCCGGGTCCCTGGCGCTGTGAAGCAGCGATGCTAACCACTGAGCCAACAAGCCACCCTTAGACAGCTGTGTAAACTACTTCAATATACAGCAAATATATTTATTCAATATTATATACTTTCAGGGTATAAGGTATAGGTCCATAATTCAGATAGTCTGTTTCAAAACAATTTTTTTCAGGCAAACTGTAACATCATAGTACAGTGTATACTTTAAAATGACAAATTCTAGTTATCTAATGTTACAATAAACTTTACTTTTGCTGCAAAAAGTAGGGGAAGGAGAGACAGTAGCGTTATAGTAATGTAACTAATAACCCAGATGCCCAAGCTAATGTTGTGGAACAAGGATTCAAATCCCAAAGATGGTGGAGTTTGAATTCAACAAAAAGTCATCAAGTACAAGCTGGTCGAATGGTGAATACATAACCACTGTTGATTATTGTAAAAGCCCATCTGGTTCACTAGTGTCCTTCAGGGAGGGGAATCTGCCTTCTCTGTCTTATGTTTGTCTCCAGACTCTCAGCTTATTTAACAGCCATCTGAAATGGGCTAGGCAGGCCACTCAGATGCAGGGAAATTAGGGATGAGCAACAGGTGCTAACCCAGCCAATGATGCTCACATCTCATGAATGAATAAAAAAAATTACCAAGGGTTAACAGGATAAACCATAAGGTCATCATAAAATGTGTACTGAATCAGCAAGTCATCAGCTGTAACTAGAAGCACCTACAACTACGCATAACACATGTATGCGTCTCAGCAATAGTACTCCGACTGAACAGTCATAAGATTGTAGGTTCAAATCTCATTCCAACAGTTTTATGCTAAGCAACAGTGACTGTGAATGCAGTAGTCAGGGGTGCTGTCTTTTGGATCAGACATTACTGAAGCCACATAAAATTGCACTATTGAGAGAAGATTCAGGTCTTGAACATAGTTCATCCCTTAGGAGACAGATGACTAGTAATTCATTAAATTGCTGTTTATGGAGGCTTGTTACACTTAAAATGGCTGCCATATTTTAAAATTATAAATACACAAGTAACAAGATGTGTCATTTCTGTGAAACACTTTGAAATATCGTGAAAGATGCAATATGCAAATCTATTAATAAGTTAGTGGATAATATTTTTGTTCTTTACTCACTGAATCTAGGCATCACCAGTAAGGCCAGCATTTATTGCTTATCCCTAATTGCCTTTGAACTGTGTGGCTTGTTGTGCCATTTCAGAAGGCAGCAAAGAGTCAACAACACAGTCAGGTAAGAACAACAGATTGCCATCCTTAAAATGTCATTAGCGAACCAGATAGGCTTTTACAACAACTGGCAATAGTTACACGGTTATCATTAGGCCAGATTTTAACTCAGTTTTGACCGAATACAAAATTTCACAAATCTGTCATGGTGGGATTTAAACATGCATCCCAAGAATGATAGCCTGGGGATCTGGGTTACTACTCCAGTGCATTGCCTATATTGTGGAGGTGGTGCCACAGTAGCACACTTTTAAAATAATTGCAGCAAATTCAAAATTTTATGTCCAAATTGATGGATTATTTCTCACCACATACAAGGCAGCTGTACAAGATTATCAATGACATTATCCATTAATCCGGTGGCATGGTTAGACCTGCTACCTCACAGCAACAGGGATCCAGGTTTGATTCCACCCTCAGGCGACTGTCTGTGTGGAGTTTGCTCATTCTCCCAGTGTCTGTGTGGATTTCCTCCAAGTGCTCCAGTTTCCATGCACAGTTCAAAGACATACAGACTAGGTGGATTGGCCATGCTAGATTGCCCCTTAGTATTCAGGGACGTGCAAGTTAGTTGGGCTAGCGATGTTAAATGTGGAGTTATGGGGATAAGGTGGAGGGAGCTGGGTATGGGTAGGATGCTCTTCGGTCCATCAATTCTGCACTGACCCTCTGAATGGCCTTTTTCCGCATCGTAGAAATTCCATGATTCTATTCAAGAGCTACATATAACCTCAGTAAATCCTGACCAAGTAAAGCTTCCAAACATCAATATCCCTCAAAACAATTTATGTATAAACATCAACACACCTCCTAAAATCAAAGTAAAAACACAGTAAGTAACAGAAACGTAATTCAGGGGGTATACATATCACGGTTATACTTCATTTACAGCATAAATACTCTGACATCGTGGTAGATTGTGGTATTTGAGGCATATAAAATTTTTGTCAGTTTTCCCAACAGTGCCAGGTGATAAGGTGCCGGTTAAAACAAAACGTCTGCAGTAGTAAGAAAGACATTCAAACAGGATTGCAAATTTGAAGAGGGAAGAGAATAGGTAATTGTACTGTTCCAATGTTTTTAGAAGATATCATTCCTGGATAGCAACAGGTTTTTGGTTGACTGCTGCACTACTTTCTGTTTGAAAAATAAACTATGACCAAAACAACATACACAAGACAAGTTAAACAGATTAAAACTGAAATAAAACTGGAAAAACACTTGCCACTACCATTCTGGAAATCAACAGCAAGGAGTTTAATATGGCTAAGAGTTTGATGTTAAGTCATTGTCCAATTTGATCATCCTTGTGCATGGCATCAATTCTTTTCCTAAAAGCAGCTAAAAGAAAAAAAATGTAGAAATGAACAATCTAACTGCTACAACAAGGTGCAGAGCTGGATGAACACAGCAGGGCAAGCAGCATCATAGGAGCAGGAAGGCTGACATTTCGGGC